ATAGAATATAAAACAAAAGAATAATAAGAATAAATGATAAATAAAAGGAGAAATGATAATCAATGATATAATAATAAAATCAAAGTATAAAAGATAAAATTAATATTAATATAAAACAAAAGAGAATAAATATAAAATGAAAATAGATATAAATGATAATAATATAAAAATGATAAAGATGAATATTCAAATAATAAAATACATTTAAATATAAAAGAATAACAATAAGAAAATCTAAAGAATATAAACATAAAAATAATATAATAATATATAGATAATAAGAAGAATACAAAGATATAACTAATATAAACAGAGAAATAAATATAAAAATAAATATATAAAAATACGATAGATAAATAACATAATAATAAAAGAATAAAAAGAATAAAAATAATTAAATATGATTCATCAAATCATCTATTTCATTAATATTTCATACAAAATGAATACAAATGATTATAAAATATAAACATAAATATATACATATTCTGTATTTATAATACTTTTTATTTTTTATTTTTATTTGTTAGGAGCAAAATATAATAAATGGAAAATTCTATGGATGCAAATTTTTTTGCATCTTTTTTCTTTTTTGTAATTTATTTGGATGCATTATTTCTTTGCTTATTTTCGTACCCCATTTAAATAATATCAAAACATAAATATTAAAAATATATAAACATATTAATTACATATTTTAATGAATTTGATTCAATTGATTTTAGTAATCCTCATAAATATAATTTACAAAAGAAATTAAGAAATAATAGAGAAATAATACATGTTATATTAACAATAAATTGATTAATTCACAAAGAGTTAGTAAGGAGATTAAAAGCACTGAAATCTTTAAATATAAATGGTTTATAACCCATTGTGATAGATGACGTCAGCAGTCACAAAAATTCCCTATATTACTTATTGTCACAAATATTTATAGTCACAAATATTTATAGTCACAAACGCGCGTAGCGCGTTATTGACCCTTCGGGTCAATTGTGACTATAAATATTTGTGACAATAAGTAATATAGGGAATTTTTTTGTGACTGCTGACGTCATCAAATACAGTTTAATCAATGTATAATGGATTAATGATATTGTGAGTGTATGTATTGATAATGGGAGTTTACGACCCTTTTAGCATTAAAAATCTTTTTTAATCATAATCAGGTTCAGTCATCCCATTCACTGTGTTACTGTGATCCTCTTCACCTTATGATTACGACTAAAACGATTATTTAATTTCTTACGGGTTTATACATCATTTTAATACAGGATATCATTATCCATCATATATTATGTATCAAATAAGCTTCAACTATTTAAACTCCAATTTAGATTCAACTGAGTTATTGAAATAAATGAGACGTACAAGAAGAGCCACGGCTACTAGACCAACTTCAACGAGAAGAAATTTAAGAAGTACTATGGCTGGGAATTTAAAAGCTGCTTTTCAACAAAGAGATTCAACTCAAGTAGTGTTGAATGCTACTGAAACAGTACAATTAGCTATTCCAGCAAATACTAATGGTGCTACAACTGTTAGAAATGTTACTAAATTACTTTGCGGCACGGAATTCTTCCAACATTATGCTGGAATGTATGATCAATTTAAAATAGATGGAGTGTCAGTGTCAGCTGAAATTGTTTACAATACATTTGGTCAAGCTGCAATGACATTTCCTAATGTTATCACTGCATGGGATAGAAATGGTATAGATAAAGCAGTAGCAAGTCAAGTAACACAAGAAGGACAAGGTGTATTAAGTAATGTACCAATAGTACCAGGTCCTTATCAAGTGAGTTCATATTCAAGTGCAGTAAGTAGAGCATATTATCCAGGAGCTAGATGGGGTATTACAAGAAGACTTGTTGCATCTTCATTACAAGAGAAGAGTATTTATCTTCCAACAGTAAAGACTGCTGAAGTATTAACTGAATCTACTTTATATGCAGCATGGAATCCTGATTTCTTACTTTCTGTTCTTTTAGGAAATCAAACAGCTACATGTCAAACACTTGTATTTAATTTAACATGGTCATGGGTTGTTTCACTTAGAGGATTGAGAAAAAGTACACTTGATGTTATTCCAACACCTGCTGCTAATTCACTTGGTTATGCTAATACTAATGCTGGTACAGTTGCATCAGGTACAAATAATGCAATGATTCCTGTTAGTATGACTACAACTAACAATGGTGGTGTTGTTACTACTGAAAATCCAATTTATACTTCAATGGTACAAACAACAGGAGGACAACTATCTTCTTCTTCTAATACTTGGACTATTGATTCATTTAAAATGTATTTGAATAATATATTTTATAATGCAGGAATTTCACAAGTTAATGCTATGGATTTGAATTTTGATCAAATTGCTATAGAACAACCATCACAAAATGCTCAAAGTTTAACTATTAGTGGAGGTAGTTCAAGTGTTATGAGAGTACGTTTAGTTGTATTTGCTACTGCTGGTACTCTTGGTGCTGGAGTAAAAGGATATAATATATCTGCTTATTTATTTGGTAATGCTAATACTAATGCACATACTGTTACTATTTCAACTGATGCTGATACTTATGTTATTGCAAGTAATGTATTTGATATTTATGGAATTAACTTACCTGATACTTCTACTGGTGCTAATTCAGAAGTTAAAATTAATGTTAAAACTACTACTGGTTCATCAACTGATGTAGTTGGATCTCTTTTATATGCTTATAGTGGAACAGCTGAAGATACGGCAGTTACTATTGCTTCAGGTGCATTACCAGTTGCTACTGGAACAGTTGGAAGTGGAGTATTGAATCCAGTTGTACTTGTTAGTAAAACATTTGTTACTGGATTGTTTTCAAATGATAACCAAAAACTTATTAGTGCTTAAATTAATTGAATTATTTTATTGGGAAGTTTTCTGAAAGTAGAGATGAGTATAGTATTATTGCAGGGTCTTGCTTACCCTCTTCAGTACGAGCATATTCCGAATTATAACAAAGTAGAGCGGTTGTTTCTTCTATAGTTGTTCCTTTACAAAAATAAAGAATACCATTATTTGCTGCACCTTCTGTATTTAATTTTAATATATATGTTATTGTATATTTGTTTGTAACAGCAGGAGTGTTTATTTCTATTTCTGATACATATAAACCATTGACTACATTAAATTTAAATACTATATATTGATAATTTCCTTTTTCTGTAATTCTTAAGTAGTCATAAGTTTCTGAGTTACTTGTGAATTTGTGTAATTTTGCATCTGCTTCTATTAGGTCTGTAATATCGGTGTTATGTTCTGTGACATTTATTATTTCTGGTGCTACTGTTACTATTGTAAAAGTACCGTTTTGATATACCTTTAAAGAATCTATTTTATATTGTGGTACATTTGTAGTGACATAAACATGATCAAGTGCATCAAGATTATCATCTGGACTGATAGTGTATGAACCGTTTTCAGTAATAGTAACTGCTTTTGTTTGGATTTTTGGTTCAGGTACTTGAGTGATTAATTGAATACTGTCAATGTAATTTTCACTGGTGAATGTTGTTATTCCATTTGTAGTTGTTTCGATAGTTATATCATCTGTATTCACTGTTACTTTGAATGTATTTTTATTTATTTCATCTTTTCTTATTAAAGTTTCTTGTTTTGTTGTCTTGTTAATGATAGACATGAATGATAAAAATGAGTTAATTAATATATTTGTTTATCTTTTATAATTAAAATAAATGTAGATTCTTCTTTTTCTGGAAATGCTATAGTTACTTTTTCATATGCTGAATTGTTTTCTGCTTGATATGTGAGTGTTTCTCTTTGTTTGATTTCTTCATTGGTTAAATTGACATTTAAATCAAGTAAATTCATTGTTTGTTCTTCTTCTATTGGAGTGCAAATATATCTATCAAAATGAACAGTGATATACCATTGACAATTGAATTTGATACTTTTATTATCATTGTTATTTGGTGTTTCTACTCCTATAAAATACCATGGATAAAAAGGAATACTTACATTTTCATTTGTAAATGGTTGAAGTTCAGGTGAATCATATTTCCAATATCCTTCTACTCTTGTAGGTCCATAATAATTTTGTTCTTGTAATGTCATAGCTTTAATAATACTATTAATTTGAAATGCTCCACCTGGATAATAGACTTGTTGTTGTAAATGAGTACTTGAATTAATCATATTAATTACTTTATTTATATCTTTGTCATCTGCAGTGTCTTGATCAATATTGGAACGAATATATGTTGGAAACCATGTAGTACTAACAATAGGAAAATTTAATCCAATTTCTTCTACATTTATTTCTCCTATTGAGAGACTAATTAATGCTTTAAATATTTTAACTCTTTTAAAACAATTACAGAATGATTTATAATTAGTGTTATTGAAGAGTAAATCAAAAAGAGAAGTTGTATATACACCCATTCCTTTATTTAGTTTAACTTCAATTGGGGTATTAAATACAAATTCTACTTCATGTGTATTATTAGGACAGTTATTTCTAGAACGGATCATTTGAATATAAAGATGAACTGAATAATTCATAATATGAGTGCAGACTCCAGTGATTCTAATCACTCGTCTAAATGTACAGAAGAAGTGTTTAAAGAAAGTACATGGAATATTATTCGTAAAATAGTCATGCTTCTATTATCATGTATATTATTAATAGCTAGTTGTTTCTTTGCATTTTTTGAAAGTAGAAGACAAGGGAATGTCATGAATGCAGTAGAAGAAGTATTAGAAGTAGTAAAAACTTTAATTCCTAATTAACTTTTTATTTTAATGTGTTTGGTTAAGAAGAGAAAACAACGATTAAATCTTCATAAAAGAAGATACGGTTCATATGGTTCAATACGATTTAATTATGATGGAATACCAAGAAGTAATCAAACAAAATATAAACCATTTAATACTTCTAAGTATATGAGTGGTATATTACAGAATAATAAACAAGGGATGTATTATACTCCACCTCGACCAAATAGAAAAGAAACATTAAATGAAATGCAAACACATAGAAAGAGAAAAATGATTAATGATGTAGATGAAGATTTAGAACGATTGAATAATAATCAAGCATATATTAGAAGAGTAGTACCACCTGAATTATGGAAGAGAATTGAAGATGTTGCATTTGAACCAAATGTAGTAAGAAGATATGAAAAGTTGCAAGATATTCTAGTACCAGAAGCTATTACTACTCATTCATCCAAAGATTATTATCATAAAATTCATATTGGTGCAAGAACAAATAGAAGTGATAATAAAGGTACCATCTTTAAACCATCTGATTTTGAAAGAAGAGGATTATATCAATATTTACATAAACAACCTCATTTTAATAAAATAGAAAGTGGGAAAGAGAAATATGAAATGATGAAGAATGTTTATAATCAATTAGAACGATGGGGAACAAGTGATGATCGTACTGATTATGAAAAAGTATTACTTAGAGTATCACCTGATGATGATAAAATTAATCATTTTAAAACAATAAATGAAACATTAAATATTATAATAAATAATCAATTATCTTCTTTCTTTGGTTTACTTTCTTCTTCTTTCTTTTTATCTTTTAATACAAATTTAGTTTTGTATTCTTTCTTTGGTACTTCTGGTGTCTTTACTTTTTTAATCTGTGGTTTATCCCACATTAAGCCTTTCTTTCTGGCTATTCTATACACCAAGCTCCAATATGGCTTTTTTAATCCTTTTAATTCATCTTCCTTGGTGTATTCCTCAATGGAGTTTACTAATTTGATCATTGTGTCTATGAGTTCATCTGCATCCATAGATACAAACTTACCCATAGCATGGTCAGCAATCATGTCTTTGATGGTTGTCATGTATGAATGATTAAACAGTTCAAAATAAATAGTTTAAATATTCAATTTATCTCTTTTCGGAGTACATTATCAAAACTCATACTCGTACTCATATTCTATTTCTGGTTCTTCTACTTCTTCTATACCTTGTTCTATTTCTTCTTCTCCTTCATTTACATCAACGTTTTCGTCATTATGTTTAAAGTTATTCCAATATTTTTGTTGATCTTTTATTGTTAACTCTTTTGGAATGTCTTCAACTCTTAAATCTTCTTCTCCTTGTTCTATTATTGGTTTAATTTGTTCTGGTAATATATTTTTAGAGTTATCTTTATTAATATCTTGTGTTATATTTGAATAGAGCAATGGTTGTTTAGCATGTTTTCTAATTCTATTTTTGATATTTTTCAATTCTCTTTTCAATTCTTTTAAGTCATCGAAGAGTTCTTCATCTGTTATTTTTGGAGTATTCTTCTTGACTTCTTTGACTTTTCGTTCTTTCTTTTGAATTAATGGCTTTTTAATTTCTTTTTCTTCTCTTTTCTTTTCCAATTTTTCATTCGTTAATGAAGTATTCATTATTTTGAGCTTCTTCTGTTTCGATTAATGCTTCATTTTGTGGAATTTCTATTTTTGTTTCATTTATTGCTTCTTCTCTTTCTTCTTTCTCTTCTATTGGTAAGAATTGTTGTAATTCTTCTAAATATATTCCTCGTTCAAAATCTCTCTTTTCTTGATATTCATTAGTATCTTCTAATTGATGTTTTCGTTTTGAGTTATCTCTATTTTTATCTATCCATTGTTTGATAGTATTTCTATTCTCTCTTGGTGGTCTAGGTGGTATAATATTTCTATCTGGTTCTTTTTCATCTTTATGTATTTCTATTTCTTCTTCCATTGCTTTATCTTTTATTTCTTCAAGTATTTGTGGTATTTTATCTTCTTCTACATTATCTGCTAGTATTATATCATTATTTTCATTTGTTAATATTAATGGTATAGTAGTATCTTCCACATTATCATTCTCTTGTTCTAATTTATTATTGTTTTCTATTATTTCTTGTTGAATTATAGCTAATTCATTTCCTAATTGTTGTGGGTCATTAATATCAATTATATCTTCTAATATTCTGAGTGTATTATCATCATATGTAAGTATTTCTTCTGGTTTATTTGGATTTACTATTTCATATATATTTGTACTGTTATCATTATCATTGTTATTCTCTTCTTCTCCTTCTTTAATTGAGTCTTCATTAACATTCATTTCTTTATTATATTCTTCATAATCTGGATCATCAAATATTGATTCTTCTGTTTTGCTATAATCTTCATTAATCAAGTCTGGTTTATTTACTCTTTCTGGTTCATTGTCTGGATCAAAGTAATTATTTGATTGATAACTATCTGGATGTAAATCTACATCATCTTCTTCAAAATATTCATCTTCTCCATTATCTGGATCATAAGTAGTATTCATTCCATTGTTAAATGAATAATCATTATAATTATCATAGTATTGATTGTTATGAATATTTCCATAACTTCCCCATTTTCGTTTTAATACATTTGGTCTATACCAATAACTCATTTTAAAAATAAAAATAAAAGATAAACCAAAAATTAGTTAATTAAAATTTCCACCTAACCACCTATTTGCTAATTCTCTAGCTTGTTGAGTTAATTCAACATCTGGTTCTTTAGGTGGTACTATTGCTGTATCATTCTCTTTTAACAGAGATAATATTAAAGATTTTCTTTTCTCTCTGTTTTCTTCTACTGGCTTTGGCTCTTCAAGTACCATGGGAGGAGGCATGCTTTCTTCTTCTAATTCTTCTATTATATCATTCAAATCATCTATTGTATCATCTCCCATATCATCTAAATTAACATCTTCTTCAACTTCATTCTCCAATAGCATTTCAACTAATTTAGGATCTAATCCATCATATTTATTTTTATCCCGTACTGCTTCTTCCTTAGGTGGTGGTTCAATATATAATTTCTCATTAGTTTGGAGTACTACTGTATTTTTCTCCATCCAATCGAAGTCTTCAAACTCTTTGGCTCTTTCTTGTAGAGCTTTCCAACTACCTGGATTTAATACTAATATTGTTGGAATTGATGTCACTTTTACATGTGAATATTTAATGTTTATTGTAATTTGTTCACCTCTCGTACTTATAAGCGATTTAAATTCTGGCCATGTAATATCATTTAAATTGGCATCATCAAATAATCTAATATCATATCTTACATTTTCATTGTGGCCATCTAACATAAAATGCCCTCTAAACTCATCTACCTTTAAATCTCTAAGCATGTCATTTACAAATTCCGTTTTCCCCATTTTTGTATCACTTACTAATACAAGTGTTCTAACTCTTTTTTTATTTCCTTTTATTACCGAATCTAGCCATATTCTACTGTTTTTAACTAATGCATTATCTTCCTTCCATGGTTGTAGTTTGATTCTTATACGATTGTTTCTATCTCTATCATGCTCTTGCATCCAAATCGAATCGAATTTTGCTATATTATTCATGTATCCTTTAACACTTACACTTTTTAGATAAGCATGTGCCTCTTCAAGATCAGGCATCTTTAATGCTTTACTCAAATCTCTATCTCCAAGTCTCCCTCGGTCTAAGTTTAATTTACCTATTTCACTGAATACTGCACCATCATTCGGATGTTTAACGTTTTGTTTTTTAATGTAGTCTATAATAGATTTTATACTTCCGTCGTAGTGTTCACTTTCTGTAATCTTTTCAAACTTAATAAAATACTTTTCATTGTTTAGTTGTATAAATGGTTTCTTTCTACTATGGGTTGTTTCTTCTAATTGGAAAAACATGTGTACGTGTTTATTTGTTCCCTTTGTCGTTTTACTAATGGCAGCGTACTTTATTTTTGCTTCTTTATTCTTCGTGGAACACCACTGTTCTAGTGCTTTTTTTAATGTAGAGTCTGTTGGTATTTTATCTTGAGGCTTTAAGTTTAACGTGACTAATCCATGCATACTCTTAAATTCATAGTATTTATTTTTGTTTTCTTGCATTTTGTTTGAATGGTGTGGGATTAATGAGATTTCTTTTTATTCTGTATAGAATTTTCTATTTTGTCTGTTTATTGACTGTATGAGGTAATGTATGAGGTAGAAAATGATTTTTAAACTATAAAGAATAATAAAGTTATAATTCAATTAATTTATAAATGCCTCTTTAAGTGTCTGTTTGTTGTGTTGTTTACACGTTTCATGTGTTATTTAAACTGGAATACTTTTTATTTTATTCGATGTTCCCTCTCTTGTCTAGCATTGTGCAAGACATCGACGAAACCTGTAAAGGTCTCCTCGAGAGCGATGGTTTAGATTTGGACACCAAGTGTCTAATCTATTCTATTCTCTATTTTATGAGGAGATTCGAGGAGATTCACTATAATTATAGTGATGTTTTATTTTATTACCTTACAGGTTTCGTCGATTCTTGCACTAAGGATCAACGATTTAATAAACTGGGTGGTTTATTAGAATTATTAGAAAATTTCCATTTCGTTAATGATTTGGAATAATAATTAATTTACTATTTTTTATTTTATTTATTTTTATTTAATAAACAAAATAATATTAAAAAGAATTAAATTATTTTAATTATCTTTTGGAGCTCTTGGCTTCTTGGATAATTCTTTGGATATCTCCACTCTTCTTCTTCTTTCTCTTTCAGTTGCTCTTATTTTAAAAGCATCTAAAACGTCTTTATAATTACTCTTAATATCGGAGGCCACATCACAAATAGATTCTACTAACTCTGCTTCTTCTTCTAAGACTTTATTAAATTTATCATCTTCCAGATAACAATCTTGTTCTTTCTTGTAGCAATTAATCAAATCATCACAAAAATCTTTTAGACAATCCATGTCTAAAAAGTAGTCTTTTAATATTCTTATGTCGATGTTTTCTATTTTTGCAGTTTCTAATCTATCGTCAGTATCCATTCGCTATGACATCTTTCAATCTTCAACAGTTTAAATATTAAGATGTAACAGACATTCAGACAGATGGAGAGACAAACAGACATTTTTTATTTTTATTATATTATATTTTTATTAAAAGTATAGTATAAAAGTCAATCATTACCTCATATACTACCTCATATCAGCCATTTAATTTGTTATTTAAACAGCAATAATATTTTAGCATTCAATGTCTTTTAGTGGTACTTTTAGAAGGACACGTCTTTCTGTACTACTCTCGGCTATTGCCAGGGAAGTGAAGTCCCAACTCAGTCGAGCCAATGATAATAATACTGAAATAGTATTATATGGTTTAATTTATTGGTTCCGAGTTTGGGATCATAAATACCATTTAAAGTACTCGGACCAAATGAATAAATGGCTCGACTACATAATGGTGGATATTTATTCCACCATTATGGATTGTGGTCCTCTTTTATTCTTACTCAATACGCTTTATTCAGGCAGGTATATTCCTGATATTGATCATTTTAATTGAATGCTTTTTATTCCTTTTTATTTTATTTTATTATTGCTTATTGTTTAAATAACAAATTATTTTCTTTTTAAAATTTTGAATAACAAAAATAAATAACAAAATTTTAAAATTAATTAAATTAAATTAAACTAGAGAGGTCTAGTTTTTCTTCTCTCTGGTTTTGTCTCTTCTTCTTTCTTCTTCTCTGCTTCACTGATTCTCTTCTCTCTCTCTTCTCTTTCTCTTCTTCTTTCAACTCTGTAATAATAAGTTTATTTTTCTTTTTAAACGTATTTATAGTTTCGTATAATTCATCGATAACATCGATATGTTTTGTAATAACCATATTAAAGTATTTCAAAGGCATTCTTCCAAGGGATAAATCTACTCCTCCGCTTAATATTGAACATTGTTTACTGATATCAACAATACCTGTCAGTAAATCAATAAAATCTCCGATAACAATACTTCTTCTGTCAATTTCGGTTTCATCTTCGCTGTCAAATCCGTCTCTCCTTCCAACGCTTGCTGCTCCGTACATTCAACTATCTAATGACCATATCTAGATGGTAGGGTCATTAAATAATAGAATAGTATTATTCTTAATAGTTTATTTAACTATTCTTTGGACATGTTCCACTCAAGGTGTTCATTACGAATGAAATCCCGTTTTCATACGTGAAACACCTATAAATATTTGGGACAATAAGTAATAACCTCATATCAAGTATAATAATAAATAGTATTTTTACTATTAATTATTTACTATAAATTGTGTCTGCCACGTCAGCAGTCACAAAAAATTCCCTATATTACTTATTGTCACAAATATTTATAGTCACAAATATTTATAGTCACAAACGCGCGTAGCGCGTTATTGACCCTTCGGGTCAATTGTGACTATAAATATTTGTGACAATAAGTAATATAGTAATTTTTGTGACTGCTGACGTCATCTATCACAATGGGTTATAAACCATTTATATTTAAAGATTTCAGTGTTTTTAATCTCCTTACTAACTCTTTGTGAATTAATCAATTTATTGTTAATATAACATGTATTATTTCTCTATTATTTCTTAATTTCTTTTGTAATTCTTTGTATTTATTTATTTTATGAATATAATTTAATTCTAAATTATTATCTTGACATATAACAACATCTATAATATATCATTTCTTTTCTTTCATATTTTGTTAATATATATCTTGTCTTCTATCATTGAATTAATTGTCACTAACCAATAAATCTTTATTGTAAGTTATGACCATTTTATCATTATTAATACATTTAGGAGGATTATTAAAGTCGATAGCATCAAATTCATTAAGATGGGTAATTAATATATGTTTATATATTTGTTTACAAACATAATCATGTTTTGATATTTGATTCTTTTTCATTACATCCTAACAAGATATGATTAATAGATGCAATTGTGTTATGACAATGTTTACAATATTTTAAAGCATCATTTTGGAGTATTTTTGATTTAATACTTCCTGTCATAGTTACTCCTTCTTGCATTTTTACTATTTTGAGGAATGCATTTCTTTTTATATTTAATGACCTCCATGTGGTTACTGTTAGTTTTTTATCATTGAAAGTGCCATTTGCACATCTTATATATTCTCCACATTTCTTTTCTTTCCATTCATTTAAATATCTTTCATTTAATTCATTATTTACCCATTCAAATATTTTCTTTACATTGTGCTTTCTTTCATTTAATTCTATTACATTCATTAATTCATTAAAATTAATCTTCTTACCAAATGCTTTCTTCATTCTTTTAATATTCAATTTGGATTTTCTTTTATTGCATCTATCATTTCTCCTATTCCTGTGTTTGATATTTATATTTTAAATATATTCTTCTTAATTCTTTAGCACATTCATCTCTTGCTGACATTAATCCTAATCCCAATTCATTTATTTTAACATATAATCTACCTTTGGGATGTTTCTACTATATAATTGGAGTTGTATCAATGATTTTCTTATTTGTTTATCTATCTTCTCCAATTCTCCTAGTTTATATTTGACAATACAAAATCCATATCTTAATTTGGAGATTATATCATTATTAATATTTCTTATTGTATTGAGGCTGCTGTATTTCATAGTATTTAATGATGATAGAATAGAAGATACATAATTTAATATTCTTGTACAATATTTATTAATATTTACTTTATCTCATATTTCAATACTAAGATATTTATAAGGGTTATCATTAGTTACTCTTGGTAGTTCAGCTAATTCACCATTTATTTGATTATTAATATTAGTCATTATCCCACTCTTTTCTATATTAATTTTTAATCCTATTGCATTAAATATTTCTTTAGTTAATTTGTGTGCTTTTTCCATTTCATCGATGCTATTAGTCATTATTTTTAAATCGTCCATATACAATATTTGGTTTAACTGGACTTGTTTTTCTTCTCCATTCATTTTGATATTTAATTTGTTTATTTGTTTATCTAATTGTTTAGATAATATATCAATAGATAATACAAATAAAAGTGGAGATAAACTATCACAATGTATTATTCATATTTCTACATTAATCATACCTACACTTTCTTGATTATAATATAAATTAAGATATGTATTATTTAATATATAATATACTATTAATTACTGCTAGTGGGATATTAAAATAAATTAAACATTGTTTAATCCATTGATGATTAATACTATCATATGCTTTGGATATGTCATAATATCTTTCTACCACTTCCATTTATTCTTTATTAATAATTGAATGATTATAGTGATGTATAATAATCCTTCTTTTGATGCATATGTGTATTTTTTACATCCAATTTGATTTAATGAGAGTTGTTTTTCAATTTGATTTAGCATCAGCTGGCTTTCTATTTTCATTTTTAATATTGATGTATACACTTTTAACAGACAATTAAACACGTTATTGGTCTGTAATTCTGTGGGTCTAATTTATCTCCTTTCTTATATATTAATATTGTTCTTCCTTGAATGAAATGAAGAGGTATTTCATTAGGATTGTTCAACCATTCATTAAATAATTTTATTAAATACTTCTTTGGTTGTTCTAAATATTTAATCCAAAATCTTTGTATTTTATCAACACCGTGTGCCTTCCAGTTAGCAGTAAATTTAATAGCACAGTCTAGTTCATTTGGAGTGATTATTGATATTCTATTATTAATTCTATTTTCAATTAATATTTCATATAAATTAATATTCAGGAAATCTATATTAGTGTTGGTTTCATAGATTCATTTCCAGAAATTAATAGTGAGATATTATCTGGATATTCATCTTCTTTAGGCTTATTTAGATGTTGCCTTTTCCCATATTTCATCATTTTATATTTCAATCTTATTCTTTTCAAATTATTCTTTCTTGCTTCTATTTCTATTCTTTTCATCTTTCGGAGGTATTTATAATAGTTTATTTGTTCAATTGTTTTTATTTTAATATGGTATATATCATATTTCTTAATATGTATTATTCTTTTTAATTTCATATATTGTTTATTATTGAGTAAATCTCTCAATCTACATATTTTTGATTGTAATATTCTTTCTATACTTTTCTTTCCACTTCTTTCTTGTTTATTTTTATTAATGATGTTAATAGTTGAAGCTACAGATTTAATATAATGATAATAATCATCTAATGTATTGATTATTATTTCATTTTTATTAATAATATTAATTATTTGATGTACTTTCTTCTTATTGTAATAATAGTTAATAAATTGGACATCTTCTTGTTCTTTCTTTTCTTCTTCTTTAAATATTTTCATTACCTCCTCTTCTTCTATTTCTTCTTTCTTGTTCACTTTTGATATTATTTCTTTTAATTCATTATCTTTCCATTGATGTTTTATTATTTCTTCCTCCATTATTCTATTGATTCTCTTTTAATTTCATTCTTTATTTTAAATGTCTTCTTCAATATTTCTTTATATTCATTAATATCATTTGCTTTAATTCCAAATTCTTGTATTAGTCTTTCTATTATTTCTTCTTTAAGTTTGACCTCTTAATTTTCTTTCAAATAATTTCAAAACAAAACATTTATAAAGTGTTAAAATTTCTTCTTTTCTATCTGTTTGCTTCCCCCGTTTTTTTTGGTTGTCTAATTCTAATGTGGTGATCTTCTTATGCTGAATATCCATTTCTTCAATGGATTTCTGCGTTAACTTTCTTTTTTTGGAAGATCATCTTCACTTGATGATATTTCATCAGCTACTACCACATTGTGGGAGAGGTCATTCACAATTTGTGTTTCTGATGAGTCTGTTATATTGTAAGTTACCTCATCTTTCTTCTTTTCTTCTAGTGTGTTTTTATTTTCTAATTTAGATAATTTATCTTTCAGGAATAATAATTGTTGTGTTAAGTTATTTACTTCAAACATTTTCCTCTCAGACTCAGCATGGAATTTGAATATTTTTTATCGCACTCGTTGTTTTTTGTGCTTATCTCATTCTCATGCTTCCTCTTTAATGCCATAATATCTTTTGTTAGTTTCTTAATGGTTTGGTCTTTTATTTGTATTTCCTTTTTCATTTCTTCTTTCTCTTTCATATCCTCCTCCACTTTCTTTTCTATTTCTTCTACTCTTTTTTCCTTTTTACTGTTTTCTTCTTCCTTTTCTACCAGCCTCTTCTTCTCTCCTTTAGTGATCTTCTTCTCCTCAGCAAGCCTCTTCTCCTCTTCTTCTAGCCTCTTCTTCTCCTCAGCAAACCTAGCTTCTACTCTCGTAGAATCTTTATCATCGTCTTCTTCACTTTCAATACTCATTACATAGTTATTGTATATTCTATTGTCTTTAATCTCATTTGGGTTGTACTGATTATTGTCTTCTTCCATAGTCATACTAATAATTTCTTCTTCCATTCTGATTGTTTTGGTTTTTTCTCGTGCAAGAAAATACCATCTTCTCCATATTGTTGATGATGTATATTCTTTAATCTTGGTATTTTTAATTTCTCCTATTTCTTGTGGTGTAAATATTTTAATTTCTTTTTCAATGATTCTTTTCCAATATTCTTGGTTTTGTATTTCAATCATTTCTTTTCTTTGATTTCTATTTTGTTTCTTATTTTGATATTGTTTATACCTTCTTTGAGTGTTATTGTGGTACTTGTTTTTCTTATATTGATATTGTTTATTTCTATTGAAGTTATTATTAAAGTGTTTATGACGATGATTATGAATGAAGTGATGAGTGAAACGATTTGTATCATCTATGTTGTGATAGTTATGGTTATAATTGTTATTGTAATGGTTAGTGTGATTATTCATGTATCTCTGTCAATATAGATAATACCTATTTTTAATCACTTCTATATCAAAGAAATTTTCAAGTAAATATAAAATTGATTGCAAAAGGTGAAATAATTTCAAAAATAAATAAAGCAAAACAGAGAAAGGAAAAAAAAAAAAGGTAATACGAAAAAAAAGAAAAAATTAAAAAAAATAAAAAATCAAAAAGAAAAAAACGAAAAAGAATAAAAGTAATAGAAAATTTGAGAGAAATAGAAATACAAGTATTTATACTTATGTCCTACTTATACTACTTATACTACTTATACTACTTATACACCCTTATGTATATGTATGTACACCTTATTATGTCTTATTCCTATTCATTTTCTTACTCTTTTCACTTTCTATATCCAAGCATTCGTGCCCGAGTGGTCTAAGGGGGCCGTCTCAAGAACGGCTATCGCAAGATGCGTGGGTTCGAACCCCACCGGATGCATTCTTTTATCTCCTCCTTATATACTCTCTATTATCCTATTATCCTATTATCCTTATTATCTCTCTTTTCTATCCTATATCTCTCATTTCTTCTATCTCTATTATTACCTTAGGGGATGTAGCTCATTTGGTAGAGCTTTCGCTTCGCATGCGAAGGGCAAGGGGATC